AGTTTACCCACGTGAAATTCTTCCAATACCTTTGTTACTTTTAGATATACTTATACCCCATACTGAATTTCATTAAGAGTTTTATTATAGCTCTTTCTTCTTCTTGCAGTAACCATTAACACTATTTATCCATGATAAAGTTAATAAATTAATAGTGTTGAAATCTATCCACTTATGAAATGATTTTATTGTTATTGAAATCTATCCACTTATCAAATGATTTTATTGTTACACTTTGAACCCAAACGTACTTTAGTACATTTTTGGTAGGGTTGCCATCATTGTTGGATTTATTTATGGAGTTTTATCCCATTCTACTCGGTGTAGGTGCTACTAAATCTCTATTTAGAAGTTTAGTTCAAGATTCGTTAAGTTTTCGATTGACATTACATAATTTAGGAAAATTATTCTATTTTTGTTTAATTTTCTTATGAAGTCATGTCTAAGATTTATATGTTTAGATTTTCCACTACATGTGACTTACCATCTTATTAAATGTAGCTAGCCAATGATCAATTCATTAAATACCTACAACTTGTCACCACCAAAAATCCTCTTATGAAGCTAGATGCTTCTTACTAACTTTATCTTAAGCTTTCTAGATTTTCAATTACGGTTGGAGGATTTTTATTAAATTATTACACTAGTGAATCACTTTTACTAGTGGATTTCATTCATGGGTATTCAACTCTCATCATTGAATCATTACAATGATCTTCAATTTTATGAATATTTTTCAAATATTCCAATTGTTTTCGCAAACACCATAATAGACTTTCATCACATTTCGTCAACTTTAGACTTAGTATATGTCATCCTTATAATTGCAAAAGGATTTTCGACCTTTTTCTCCTTCATAGATTTTTTTTTATAATTAAAAGGTATAAGTAACTTTTAAAATAAGTTACCCCCACAATTCCTCAATTAGGAATTATATGCAATCTATTAATATTGCATCCATAAGTTTAGAACTTTTCATATAATTTCAATAGGATTAACGTTAACCCTCCACATTTCGGGTTGTACTTGAACTTAGAATTCATCAACTTTTTCATATTTCAATTCACTTATCACTTGGATAGTATTCATGAAAGTCTAAGTACTTTTTGATAATGGTTGCTAAGTCGCAATGTCCTTCAATCCAATTCTCTTGAATTTTGATAACACGCTGATCAAGGTCATCTCATAGACCAACAATGCTTTTCAAGTATAAGTCAACTCAATTGGTTCTACGATTGAAGTCAAATTCAATCAATGAAGAAGATTAAACATCCCGATTCATAATAATTGCAACTTCTTCAAGCATGTGTAGCCTATCAGTTTTGTGAAATGCCATAAGATAGTATTATGTCAAATCATAAGGTGCAGGTCTTATTCACATTTGAACAAAATCACATTCTGTCATATTCATCTGCAAATATAATTTTGCATAAATCATCTCATTTAATTGAGGCTATCATCATTAACCAAAATTAATAAAATCAATCAACAAATTTACCATGTCGTTTTCATATTTCAATAAAAGGAATAGTCATGAAAGTTCATAATCCATCAACAAATAGTTGGCATTTTTCGAATACCACTATCCGATGCATATGAATAATTCCCAATTGTCATGATAAGGCGAGAATAATCTAATTGTTTCATTTATACAAGCAGTAACATTCATCAAATGGAATAAGCTATACATTGGAAATTCACCTCCTTTCATCTTTCTAATTATGTTCATACTTCTTTAAAGAATCACAATTTGTAAATTATCAATCACAAAGATCAAAAAAACATGTTCTACTATTTTATCCTGGTTTTAATTAACCAATTTCCATTTTCACCGTAAACCCCAAAGGAAATAACCCATTGCTTAACAACTTTCGGCATACAATCATGCACATATGTATTCTGACTTGAGAAAACACAAATTAGAATATATGAATTAGGACAAAAGGTCATGCATAAATTTACTTTTTCACATTAATAGCAATGTAGGCATTCATATATTCTTTTCCATCATTTGATCATTAAACTATAATGCACACCATTAATTTCCAGTCGTTTTCCATTAACACATGTCAAAACCAAATTTAAACTGATGTTCAATCAGTTTTATGCATATAAGTCAAATTTCATATGCAGTCAAAATTCATGAAGATCAAACATAATTTCGACTTACCACAATGGAAATTGAGAAAGCAAAATGATAATTATTGAAGTCAAATACTTGACGTGGATTTAATTCTTCATTCTTCATCATTTCTTTCCAAAGTAATCCAATTTTTTTTTTTTTTGTGTGGAAGAAATGTAAATTCCGGTAAAAGTGCCAATTTCGGATCAAGTGTGTAAAATCTCTTCAATGCTGTTCCAAACGAAAAAACTTGATTCATCAACTTGATGATTGCAAGTGTAGTCTCCGAATCCTTTGTAGTAAAATGAAGTATCATTTGAGATTGTTGGAAAATTACAGCAACGGAGAAAAATAGAAGAAGAAGATGAAGAAGAAGACTTGAATACGAAAACAATATCATTGTCCTCAAACGATATTTGACTCATTTTCAATATTTTTAAAGATCAAAATGGCAAATAGTTTGTAGGATTTATCAAGCCTTAATGGATAACACTTAAAAGCAAAAAGTGATTTTTAAATTGAACAAGTAAAAACTAATGTTGAATATGTAAAGTGACAGCAATTTGTTCAAAGTTTGAATGAATATATGAATGGTTTTTAATTCATTCTCATGTGTTTTGGGATGAACGCTTTCACATATATATAGAATTCAACTAGCCTTGCACGAAATGGTTCTATCTTTTCATGAAAAGGTACAAGGTTTCACCCAAAACCGCCAAAAAATTCAAAAGAAAAAATCAGCCAACTGTTACATTTATTGGCTTGTGAGTACGTACAGTTTAATAAAATCATTTTTGGTTCTGTTCCTGCCTAATCAAAACGTGCATATGCATAGGCATAATTTATTCATCTTGATTTGTTTCTTAAATTCATCATTCTTTTGATTTTGATCAAAAATTTACAACAGGTGTTTCCTCGTGAAAAGCATCCAGAAACCCGATATCATGAAATAATATTTCAATGTAACTTTACACATGTAATGAATACTCCACAAGATGCATATAACATATATGATGTAATATTGGACGGAACTCCGCGAGATGTGTGTACACAGAGAACATTAACCAGATGCACGAGATACAAATTAACGCATTTAGACGTCATAAATCATTAGTGTTTGGGGGATGGGGACAAAGCCAGAAAATGATATTAATATGGACAGATATTTAACTTTTGCTAACAAACTCACGTCATAAGAGATTGAGTTTAGGAGGTTAAGCTTGTGAAATTTACGAGAAAGAATGTAGTGATGCTTGATGAAATAAAAGAAGTCTAGATATCCCAATTTGTATCTTTTCTTACCAAATTGAAAATAAATGCTTACCATAAGAAATATAAAATGACAGAAATCATGATCAGAATAAGAAAAGGTTACATATTCCTAAATGAAAATTTAAGAAATTGTCAAAAGAAATTGCCAAACAATTTTGACTACCAATCTTTCCAAATAACTAAATGCCTTGGCCTAAACACACAATAAAAAATGCATCATTATATATTATTGTTCTCAAAATTCTATTTGATGTGTGCATCAATCTTTTATATCACAACATTTCATAACGAGTCCTGAATTCCATCGAAAGATGGAAAATTCTATTAAGAATTTTAAGTGTCAAAAGAAATTGGAATTAATTCACATCGATATTTGGTTCAGCTTCAAGAATATACTTAAAAGCAAATTAATTTATAAAAAAGTAGTTTTAAAAAGATATTTTTTTTATTGATAAGATCAGATCTAGAGTAAATTATTTATTTTGATTCTAACATATATTTCATGGTCAAAATAAGTAAATTTTTCTCTTACAAATACAAATAAGCAACATGTAAAACCATATTTGAAAACAAAAAAATTAATTACTTTTATGCTTAGCAAAACATGTAGTATTTCTTTCTATTAAATAAGTGATTTATTTTTAACTCTTGATTATACTAATTATTTATTATAAATATATAATTGTATGTAAATTTAGTCAACATGCAATAAATAAAATACCTAATTTGGCAATATGCTATTCATGGTACGTCATTAAAA